CGAGAGGGACATGGCAGCCCCGCCCCCTCGCCAGCTGTTCCCAGCTGCGCTGCACGGGGCGGGGGCTTCCTCCCAGGCTGTCCCGTCACCCCTCTGGAAGGGCTTTTCCCACCATCCTCCTACCAACAGGGATTAGTCTGCCCCCCTCCAAACCCCCCTCATGCAACTATCCTGCAGTTGCATTAACCCAACGTGTGACATTAACTCAGGGGCAGAGAGGCTGGGGGAAATGTTCCCTCTGAGGCTATGTCTACACTCCCGGCTTCTTGTGCAAGTACAGCTGTTCTTGTGCAAGAACCCACAGAGCAGCCACACTGCCCGCCTGCTCTTGCGCAAGGAAATTTACAGTCCGGCGTGGTAAGAGAGGGCGTCTTGCGCAAGAGCTGTGTTCTTTTCTAACAGGTGTAAGCTCTCTTGCACGAGAGGGCAGTGTGGATGCTCGGCAGGGATTTCCTGTGCAAGAAACCTTTATGGCTAAAATGGCCATCGGAGCTTTCTTGGGCAAGAGAGTGTCCACACGGCCATGGATGCTCTTGTGCAAAAGCACAGCTCGCACATGGCAGTGTGGACGTGTTCTTGCGCAAGACTTCTTACACAAGAACCCTTGCGCAAGAAACCGCCAGTGTAGATATAGCCTAAGAATTTCCCCCCATGAGCAGAATGAATTTTGTGTTGTGCACCTGTACTGAGTTCATGTGGCTTGTTTGGATGTGCCACTGTAGCACCCAAGTTATTAAATATTTTTTAAACCTTTGCCTTTTCTCTCTGCTGCCGTGTCTCCTCCCCTTGTTCCATCAGCTCCCCTGGTGCCTGCTGCCCCCCTCAACCCCTCCCCCTCCTCTGCTGTCCTGACTCCTGCCCTTCTCACTGCCCTCAGCCCTCCTGCAACCTGCCCCCCTCCACCAGCCCTTCTCTCCCCCCTGTGCCCACTCCTCCAGTAGCCCCACTCTGATCAAGTGAGCTACCCCTCCTCATCCCCTCTCCTAACACCTGCCTCTAAACACCTGCCCTGCCTCTCTCCTCTGGCCCTGGTCCCTCCCCTGCAGGTGTCTGCCCTTCTGCTTCACTCCCAGAATCCCCTGGCACCTGCACCTTCCCTTACCCCAGCACCTTCCTGGTGCCTCCCCCTTCCCTCAGTGCCCCTGCCTGCTTTTTCCCTGATGTCCACCCTCTCACTACCCTCTGCTCCCATTCCCCTCATGCCCCTTTGCCCTCACACATGATTTGCTCCATCCCCACCTTCCTCATGCCCACCCCTTCTTTCAAGCCTTCTCCCAGCACCTGTCCCTCCCTCCTCTAGCCCCCAGTGCCCTTACCCTCTCCTCTCCCAGCATCACCTTGTTTCCCCTCCCACTGACACCTCTCCCCTCCTGCCCTTTTCCTTACTGTCTCCACTTGGTCCCCTGGCATTTGTCTCTCCTCTACCCTGTCCCTTGGTGCCTCCCCCTTTCTTTTCCTGCCTTGCGCCTCCTCCCCTCCCCTCAGCACAAGCCCCTTCCTTCCTATTTCCCCCCCACACACCTTCTGCCTTCCAGTTTGCGGGGCTGGAGTCTATGGAGCTTCTCCAGCTGCTGGCCCAGGGCCAGGCAGAAGGTCTCCAAGAGACACATGAGACTGTAGTAACCACAGAGCCCCAACGCTCTGAGCAGGACCCACACGCAAAGGCACCGGAAGCCACATTTATCCTCCAGGTTCAACATCCCACCTGCCCGGGAAATGTAGCTCCCCAGAGCAAGCTTTGTGGGGCCGAATTGGTGATTCCTGGTTGAGTCTGATGCCTTGGGGTGGAGGAGAAGCCCTGTCCCATCCCCTGAGCGAGTTGTGGAGCCGCAACTGGATTCACTTGCACTTCGCCAGGACTATGCACAGGACTGACAGTGTCCCAGGATCAGCATGTGCCGGGGTCAGTCCCGCTCCCCGCTGGCCGATTTGCTCCCCGACCCTGCTTTCCCCGACCCTTCCCAACTGGCACTGCTGCCCCCGACACCCTCCCAGCCACCCCTGCTTCCTGCCTCCCAGTTCTCC